TTTCCACTCTATATAGCTGCATATCGATTAAAGGCTTATCTGCTGCAGCTGTGAATTATTTGCCTTGTAGTTGAGACTCTCATGTTGGCAGCATACATACATAGATGCAGCATAAAGCAAATATTTTAATCAGTCGAACAAGCAGGCAGCCGTAAAACTAACGTTGGCATTGCCCAATGTCTGGAGCAAGGCGCACAATTTATAACAGAACTTTAATGCAAAATTTACTGGGCAGCAGGAGCAAACAACCGCAAGAGAGTAAAGGACAACACGCATACGCACTGTTTGCCGAACAAATGCCTTAAACCAAAAAACAAGTAAATAAACAAAACATGCCAGATAGCCCATACACACACTCTCACTCACACACGCACACACAGACACACAAATTGATAATTATTGAAAGAAAAGCAAAAGCAGCAGCAGCAGCACAGCAGTGACCTCTGCCACACACGCACACGCACACAGAGATACTGTAACGATGCACTAGTGTAACATTAGCCAAGGAAAAGATTGAATAGCAGCAGACGACAACGAGTGAACGTTGCATGCAGCAGGCATGTGTGTGTGCAACAATGCAGCCATCCAGTGTGCGTGTGTGTGTGTGTGTGTGTGTGTGTGTCTATTTATACACAAAAGAGACATGCTGTTGCATGTTAATTGAAATCAATAAGTGCAGCATACACATACACACATGCACAGCGTTCGATATGTGTGACACTGGCTTTAATGGCAGCCAGAGCAACAGCAGCAACAGCAACAACAACAGCAACAGCAGCAACAGCAACAACAGCAGCAGCAGGAGCAACATCACAATGGTTAGTTATCGAAGGAATGTGGTAAAGTAAATTATTTGCACAACGGCTAATGACAACAGCAACAACAACAGCAGCAGCAACAACAAGTTGTAGAAAAACCAAAAGCAACAACTGGGACTGCGTCGTCCTTTGGCCAGCATTCGCATATCCTTTTGTATTTATTATTTAGACAGGCGGCAGTTACTTTGCCCATTGCCAGCTGCTACAGTTGGCTGCTACATTGGCCAGACGTAAATTATGCATTGTTATATTTAGAAATTTTTACCTAAAACTGACTTTTACTTGCCGGCATTCGAGGCGGCGCATGCACAATGCTACTCTGCTGATGTTGCTGTTGCAACGGCAATTACCGTGCCAGCAATGGAGGCACACAACAACTGCCGCAATGCAGTCGCATGTAGTAGCTGCTGCAAATGGCTCGTATAACGTGCAAAAACTGCAACTGCATCAACAACAGCAGCAACAGCAACAGCAACAACAGCAACAAGGGGACCGACACACACTCGAGTAGCAAAAGGAAATTATGCTTGCAATAACATTTACATGCTTGTACGAGTATGTGAGTGTGTCTGTGTGTGAGTGCGCCTGTGTGTGTGGCAAATTTATACGCCAATTGCTGCTTGCAACTGCCAAAGCAGAGGTCAAATTTTCATTTCAGCCCAACAGCAACAACAACAACAGCAGCAGCATCAAGTTGCTACAATTTTGGTAATACCCAGGCTGACAGCCCTAACACAGAGTTAGAGACTCTCAGAGCATGCAAAACTTCTATTCGAATCTTAACAATTAGCTCGTATAAATTTCAATTAAAGCCCAAAAGGAAAACTTCAGAAATAAATAAGAATTTCAGCCAAAAAGTCAATATAGAGAAGGTAAGTATAAAGTATTTTATAAGGCTTTCAGCATAGATGGGTAGATGGATAGCAACAAGCCTAAAGTTTATGACTTTATATAAAAAACTATAGATTGCATCACATTGCGTATACGCCCGATGGCTGCAAGCGCTGAGCCTGAACGTCATTGCGGTTTCAATTTACCAACAAGCTGCGAGCTCTGCTTATCAATGACACAACAGGCCGGGTTCAGGCCCTGCAGCATAAGCCGTCATTCAAAGTGGGCCACTTGCGTCTGATGACGCCTCAGATTTAATAAAAATTGCCCTCCGCCGGTCACTAATGCGCTGCAGCCGGCAAGTGCCTGGCGCACTACTTATACACACAAGTGCCAGAAGCCACAAAAAGTGCCAAGAAATGAGCCAAATAAAAAAATTATATTCAGCGTGCAGCATTACTTGGCTGTTGCTGTTGTTGTTGCTGTTGCTGATGTTGCTGTTGCTGCTGTTGCTGCTGCGAAATGCAATGACAATGTGCTCAGTGCTCAGTGCTTGGTGTTCAATGTGCTTCGTGATGATGACAATAACAACAACAACAGCAAGTGGGATTACTTGAATTCAGCACTGATCGACTGAGAGATACCCTATATGGAATATACAGAGGCAGCTGAGATATATATAAGACTATAACAAGGCGAGAAATGAAGTTAACTTATGCAAAAGTAGGCAAGCTTATAAATATCTTCTTCTTATGTCTTCTCTTCATTCCTATATACCCACAGCAGCATATCAATAGTTCCAGGATACAACGTTGACAAAGCGCGACCAGGCATTGCTTATTTTTATTTGCCTGGCCAGAACTAATGCCCAACACCAACAGCAACATCAGCAGCAGGAGTAGCAGCAACAGCAGCAGGAGTAGCAGCAGCAGCAGCGGGAGTGGGAGCAACAGCAGCAGCAGCAGGAGTAGCAGCTGCAACAACAAGCAATGCGCTCTAACGCCCTTATCCCTTATCCTGGTAACGACTTTCCCGCTGCTTCGGCTGCTGCGCTTTTGCGGTTGACCGCATTTGCTGTGGAGGAAAAAAAAAATCTGTTGCTGCCAAAGTATGGCCAATGTAGAAGCTGTTGGCTATTGGCTACTGGCTGCCAGCTAGCAAGCCGTGAGCTGCTCTTGACCGAGTGGAGCTATAAATATCTGCGATAGCGAAATGCAATTACGTGGCAACAATGAATACAGCAGCAGCGATTGCTCGCTTGGCCGCTTGCTCGCTTGGCCGTTGTTGTTAGCCCCATTCCCCCCACTCCCCACTCCCTTTGCCCTTCTCAATTCGCTTTCCCATTCCCATTTTCATTTCCTTTCGCTTTCCCTCTTGCCTCCTGTCCGATTCGAGTCCAGATGGCTGAGGGAGCTGGAAGGGGCACTCGGACCCACATCCAGCAATTGACAATGATGATGTGTACGTAGTTTTTTGTCTTCGCTGCTGCTCTTTATGCGAGCTGCGAAGGACACTTTGCTGGGGCAGGATGGCACGGTGGCACGGTGGTATGGGGCAATAGCGCGACTGTATATGGCATTTGTGCTACAACATTTTGCCTGCATTGTTCGAGCCGCAGCTCCAAGAAATGCCAAGCACTGGTCCAGTCTCAGTCGCCGTCTAAGCTTCGGTTTCAGTTTCTGTTTCAGTTTCAGTCTCAATCCCAGTGGCTGGCCCTGTTTCGGGGGCAGCTACGTTTTGTGAATTTATGTGCGCTTTATAGAGAGTTCAATGGCAGCCATCATAAAATATTGAAAATGACACGCAGCAGCTGGGCGAAGATATTTGACAGGAGGAGCGAGCGGCGAGCGGCGAGCGGGCGCCGCATTCCAATCTACTAGATTGTGCAAATATGTGATATAAGAACTGTGAATGTCCACTGCCAGCAGCCGGGCAGCATAAGAAGCTAATCTGAGCTGGAGCATCGAATGTGTACACATGTTATGAGAGCTGCCTGCCCAGTGTTGGAAAAGTGTTTGAGCTGCAGCTTAAGCTCCTGTAAATATTATTTAAACCTCTCACAAGCTCATTTCATTTATCGATTCCGATAATTATTTCACAATAATTCATATCACGAGCGTGAGTCCTTGTTGAGTAAATTGCGCTGCAAATCCCTTTTCAAACACTATAATTTTTGGCAGTTCCCTTAATTTATTATTTATTATACCCCTTGCCTGGTGAACTGTGAGTACGGTATACTTTATCTACGATTTGTGTAAAGTAAAGTAAAGCAAGGCACACGGCGAACAATGGCGCACAAAGTAATTGCTAAAGGACTCCGCTCTCTCTCCCACTGCCTGCTCTGGCCCCGCCCCCTGCCCTACATCCCTGCCCCTTTTTAGCTTTGGTCCGGGCAAATAACAAAAGTCGGTTGGCATTTTATACGCTTTGCTATTAACTCGACGCATACCGAAAAACAGTCGCAGACAAGCTCCGATTGTCGCGGCCGTCGGACACATTCCACACTCTCCCTTCCTCTCCCTCTCTCTCTCACTCTCTACCTCTCTCTCAGTCTGTTCTTTCGCCTATTTCAGCGCCAAACTATGTACCATAAAAAGGCAATTTTTCTAGTTGTCAACGGCAATAGCGTGGCTTAAATTACGGGCCCGGCCAACGGATGCCGATTGGCTGACAGTTAACACCCCAGCCGCATAATTACATACTATGTACGTACTGCACTACGAACTGGCCCTAGAGTGTGTGGGGGGGAGGGGTGGTTGGGGTTGTTGTAGCAATTGTAAGTCATTTGAAAACAATTTTGATTATATTTTTTCCAAGCGATTTCACAAATCCGTTTTATGCTAAGGCGTACGGCGAAATGTGCGTTTGCTTATGGGTAGTTAACAACATGCCCCATAATAATAACATACATTTGCTTGAAGA